TTAACGTTAAATCTGGTGTGCCACAAGGTAGTGTCATAGGTCCACTACTTTTCATTCTGTATGTGAATGATCTTCCAGAGGTAACTAAGAATTCTACTGTTGCACTTTTTGCTGACGACAGTAAATGTTACTGTGCAATTCATTCACCAGCCGATCGAGATCTCCTACAGACTGATCTTGACTCTATGCACAACTGGTCGATCTCTTGGCAATTGAAATTTAATGTATCTAAGACGCTCTTGCTCAGAGTATCTCGGAAACGCAACTCTCCAACTCACTCTTACCACCTTAACAATCAACCTATTAAGACTGTAGCCAAACAAGTTGACCTGGGTGTGGTTGTGAGCAATGACCTTAAGTGGTCCCCTCACATTGCCAGCTGTACTGCTAAAGCCAACCGTTTGCTTGGTTTTCTTCGGAGAAATTGTTCTCAAATGACTGATACTCGCTGCCGTCGGCTTCTCTACCTCTCTCTTGTCCGATCTCACCTGTCTTACCCCAGTGAGATCTGGGCACCTCAAGCCTCGTCACGCGATCTTGCGATCCTGGAGGGTGTTCAGAGACGAGCTACTAAATTTATACTTCAAGATTATGAGTTGTCTTATCTTGAGCGTCTTAGGAAACTTAATTTATTGCCTATATCTTACTGGCTTGAAATAAAGGATCTCATCTTTTTTTTCAAATGCAAACAAGGCCTCTACGACCTAGATATCTCCTCTTTTGTCACCTTTTCTTCTAATCGCTCATCTCGCACCCGTTCAAGCAAGGACAACTTGCTTCAAGTCAATCCATGCAAAACCTCTCTTTTTCGAAAATCTTTTTTTAACCGAATTGTCTTTCTATGGAACAATCTCTCTCCAATCATTCGTAACAGTTCGTCTGTTTCATTCTTTAAGTTCCAACTCCATTCTCACTACTCTTCTCAATTAGACTCTTCTTTCGATGTTAACAGAATGCGCACTTGGAAAACCTACTGCTCTAAATGCCGTTCTTTCAACTTAAGCTGTTGCTCATAATCTAAACTATTAATTTTTATATAGCTATGTAAATAGTGTTCTAGTCCTTGTCTTTAATGTATGTCTACTTATTGTATTGTATCAGGTTGGTCTTTACATGGGACTCATGTCCTGTTGACCATACCTTCAATCATTGTTATATTTTTTGCATGATTGTAAAGTTAATAAATAAAATTAGTTAAAATATGTACAAAGAGTATGAAATATTAAATGTATTTAATAGGATTCTTTTAGTAAAATCTCTCTAAGTTCTTTCTTAAAAATTGTTATTGATGTAATATTTTTTAGTTTATCATCTAAGTCATTCCATATTTTAACACCCCGGTAATTAAATGTTCTTTGACCTGCAGCAGTTTTATACAGAGGGATGTCCAAGAGGTCACGATTTCTTGTCGATCGATCATGTATGTCGGAACGCTTTATAAGTGCAAGTCCATTAAAACAGGATTTTAGTGATGTTTCCGGATTAAAAAAATCAAATTGTTCTAGTCAATATGTCTTAATTATACGATATATGCATTCAGCCATTGCGGGAACCTTTACGGTTTTATGGTCATGAAGAAAATGTTGGGAAATTCATATTTCCTCATTTCGTAGCCATTTGTGGATGAAACAGTAATTCCAGGAAAAGTTGAGAATCCTATAATTACATATATTAATAACATTATGCCATATACGTGATGTATTAATGTGCAGAAGTTTTAGGTCACCCTCAAAGGCTTAAATATCTACAAATTCCACTTACTTAAGATTGTATTTCCTTCTAAAGCACATATTTCTGCTTGCTATATCATGTTAGTTTTACATAAAAATAGGAAAATTATAAAAACAATTATTAATATGCACTATTTTGCCAAGAAAAAGTTTGGTAACAAGAATTTTAAAACCATCCACACATCACATGAAGCTGTTTCCATTTATAGTAGAAACTCTATATACACATATAATTCTTGTATATACTCACTTCAACTAGGGCTAGTATAGCAAAATCAAGAAATGAGATTATAAAGGAATGTGATTATTTCTTATCGGTCGTATGTTTCCTATCATGGATCACTGGCAGGAAATTTCATCATGAGCAGATAACATATAGTATAAGAGGGTTATACTATTAAAGATGTTGCCAGAAATACGCAAGTAGACCTCAAGGGTGGCTTTTCAACCGCAAATCTACTTGGCATGCAATCTGGAAAGGGGATAGGTAACCGTTCCGCACGTTATCAACAATATAGTATTGTAATTGTTAAGCTTAACAACCCAATAAGTTATTGGGTTGTTACTGGAAAGAAAACCGCAAGCATTGCACAAAAGTTTTAGTTATAAGTATAACTGTCTCGGGATGCAGGTGGCGGGGCGGCGGGTGCGTAAATCCCGGCAGCTTTACTCTGGGGTTAGGGTTAGGGGTTAGTGGTTAGGGGGGTGGGGGTTAGAGGTTAGGGTTGGGGTTAGAGGTTAGGGTTAGGGTGGGGGTTAGGGTTAACAACCCAATAACTTATTGCTAATAACGGTTAACAATTACAATACTATATTGTTGATAACGCAAGAAGCGCCTGATGTACTCGCAAATTTAGTTTTCAGAATAACTTGGTGATAGAGATACCAGAAGACCACAAACTACCAATGCTTTGTAATGCACAAATTTTGCAGAATCTTAAGTATATGTGACGTTTTATAACTGTGCATGCACTTTTTATACCTGTAGTAATGAATCATTTAACCAGAAACTTTTGCCATACCGCTTATATACACCGATCGATACTCTTTTCAAATACTGATTATAATGAAGACGCCGTTGAATGATTGATTGATAGGTCTTTATCGGAATGAAGGTTCAATTATATACTTTTGCATTGCACAACTTTGAGGTATTGAGGCATAGTAAAACGACGATAAAAAATCATTTTCCTCAGTCACATACTGATGTAGGAACGGTATAGTGCTTCTAGACTGAGTCCACCAATCACTACGTGTTTCGACTGTATATCTAGTTGAACTATTATAACATGTAACAGGAAGAATCATAATATGCATGCATATATCAAAGTATTCCACTGCATTCAATCATCATTTAAATGTGCAAAAAGTTGCTCAAAAAACAAATAAAATTTCTCCACACTTGACTCGCTTTATAAATTAGAAAATATAATTATTGTAATTAGTGACACAGAAGACAAAATATACTACTATACTATAGTACAAAAATTGTTTAAATAAATGACAGTTCTACAGGGTGTCTAAAAAAGAATGGAAATTCAACAGGCTGTCGTGCATCATAAACGTGGCTAAACAATTCAATTTTTACATAGGACGAAAGAACAGTATTTAGCTCATCAACGATACTCTTTTTAAATCATAACGATGAGAAATGGCCACATAGGCTATACTCGTCAAATGAAAATTGCCTGTCGAAATCACATTCTTCCATGTTTAGTTTTGCGTGCAATTCTCAACGGTAGACAATTTTAATACCAAGAGGGAATTAAACTGATTGAATGTTAAATTATCTAAAATGAGCTCATGAACTCGTCAATCTTAATTCGTCTTAGTAAGAAAGTCATTAAACATGGTACAATTAACCACTGAATTCGAACAGAGAACATTCGTAATCAAAAGTTTTACGAAACAAATAGCTTGCAGCAGACTCGCGTTGCTTTTGGATCGATTAACTTTGCATAATTAATGTATTTTCAATTCCCAACGGTGGAAGAATGTGATTTCGACCGGCAATATTTTTTGACGAGTATGTTGCCATGCCCATTTCTCATCGTTATGACTTAAAAAAGGTATCATAGAAAAGCTAAATAACAGCTCTTTAGTCCTATGTAAAAAATGAATTGTTTAGCAAAGTTTATGACGCACGACAGCCTGTTAAATTTCCATTGGTTTTTTTTAAACACCCTGTATATTGTGGCTCAGTAAAAGTGAAACACAAATAATAATTGAGCAGTTCAATACTATGACATGTTTCCAGTCTCAGCTACATGCAATTTAAACTGACGTAGAATGCGTCACTTGAATGTGTTGTCGAGACTTTGAATTGGCTTATTAGGACCTCCCCGCCAATAAGTGCTGATCCTTACCGCTCAATCTCTATATATTGGAAGAACAATCTAGAACGGATAAAGCTACGGCCAGTATAAATACAGTTCGTTTAATACACTCTTGATAATCGAGGGAAAGAATGAAAAGAATTTCCGCGTATTTTATGTAAGCCATTTAAAAAACTTGCTTAGCGATGTTTGATCGCGCGATAAGAAAACACTTGGAAACTGCAAATATTTGATTTCTCGTATTTTTATGCCGCTGTTTAATTAACACTTGAAGACATTTCTGAAATATAGCACTTAAATTGCGACAAAATTCCTAATTATCATCAAATTAGTTCCACACGCTTTTATGCAACTTTAAAACGTATTTATGAAACCGGGCGCTTACAAAGAAAACTACTTCAAATTATCTATCGGTCGATATTGTGCATAGCAATTTAAATGTAAATTTCCCACAATTCACAAGTGGCAAAAAGTAAAACATTAAAAACGTTTATACTTCTAATATAAAGACCTCGTAGAACGCTTTCGAAGTTCCCTACAAAAATTTCACATGCATATTATGCATTGATGAGGCAGTTCTATTTCCGCCTTTGAAATAGGTGTTTCCATTGTGAATTTTAGTTTTCATACAAGAAATTAATGATAATTCTTGAATTGATACTCCGGCTCTTAATTCAAAGTTAATAGAAAATAGTGAGATTTCTGCGAGTTTTTGGATAAGCGTACGAGGACGGAG